TTCTCTAATAGTAGAGGCGTTAGAAGAAAAGATCTATCTCTAAGCTTAAACTTCTTAAGTATCTTATCTATATACGTATTATAAATAAGTGTAATTATCTTTAGATATTAGTCTCTAATTACATAAATACCTAAGAACTACTTTATATCTCTCTAATCTTAGATCTTGTACTTACTAGAGATCTAGGCCTATATAGCTATTACTTATTACTTTATATTCTTATAATAGAGTAATAAGATGTTATTAATATAAAAGAGAATAAGAATCTTACGTTCTTAATTAAAGAAGAGACAGAGCTCTTCTTAAGAAGCTATTATACTAATAGCTCTTAGCGTTTCTAAGAACTCTTTATACTATAATAGTAAAGAGTCTTATAATCTATAAAGCGCGCAGTTAAGCTATATATATAATTCTAGCTTTCTAAAGCTATCTAGTATCTTATAGATTACTAGATTCTCTACTATAATTTTTGCGTTAAGAAACGCTTCTATAATATTAAACTATTTAATCTCTAGATTACTCTAGGTAGTAATTGCTATTACAGCGTAAAAGAACTTTATAGTAAGTATTACTATATAAGTTATGTTAATTAAGTTCTTCTTCTAGAGATTACTATAAACTATAATTTAAGCTTTATATTTAAGAAGATAGCTATTCTAATTATACTTATAAGTCTACACCTATTTTAATAGAAGTAGCTAATCTTAGACTTTTAACCTATAGATTTCTGTCTAAGTTCTCTTCTTACTTAGCTAATTAATCTTTCTCTTAAAGGTATCTTTAAAGAGCGTACGCATTAAGTACTAGATTAGTTATTTCTATAACCTAGGCAGCTCTTAAAGATTATTATAGTATTAGTAAGTAGCTTTTAGCTTATACTTACTAAGCGTAGTAGCTATAATAATAGAGTTTATAGTCTTATAGCTAGCTTAATTATTCTAGTCTTCTTAAAGACTAGAAAGGTAGGTCTTATAAAAGTTAATCTAGGCTTACTTATTAACTAAGCCTGTAATTACTATATTTACGCTACCTACGCTATTACTTTCTAGTTAATTACTAGGCTAAGTAAGCTATTTACTCTTACTTTTTAGGCGTCTTAATAGTTAATAGACATTTATAGAAAAAGAGCGCTTAGGCTCTTTATCTATAACTCTTCTACTATAGCACGTTCTAGAGAATTTAGCTATTAGCTAATTCTATAGCTACGTTAATTATTAAGAGAAGGCTACTAATTTAGATAGCCTACTTCTTAGTCTCTTTAGCGCTTACTCTAGTTAAGCTAGTCTCTTATCTATTCTTATAGAACTAGAGTCTATTACAATAAGCTTAATAAATAAAGTTAGATCTTCTAATCTATATATAGAAGGCTCTCTACTCTTAGGCTCTAATAGGTTAGCTCTCTTAGGCGTATACACTACTCTTTAACTATTAGAAACTCTATAATTACTTTAATTACCTATCTCTAAAATCTTACGCTTAGGCGTAGGTTCTAAGGTAGCAAGTCTAGTAGAAAGCTACTAATTATTAGAAATTTCTAATAAAACACTAGCTTTATATTCTATCTCTATTAAATTAATAGAGCTTTAATTATATTTAATAGGTAGGCTAATCTTATTACTTTAATTATAGTCTACGTTACCTCTAAGATCTTACTTAGTAGTTAATAGCTCTACTATACTTACTATTTAATTAATAGAAAAAATATTAAACTTCTCTATAAGATTATCTAGCTTACTATTATTAAGCATTTTAATCTACTTAATTACTTAATCTCTAGTAGGCTTCTCTTTACGCTTACCTTAATAGAACTTCTACTTATTAAAGGTAACGTTGTAAGTTATAATTACTTAATTAATTACTAGTACCTATATATAATATATGTTAGAAGCTTAATAGCTAATAAGATATTCTATATAGCTATAAGGCTTAACTTTAAAGTCTTAATAGTGCTTTCTAGCTACGCAATTACTATTAAGTAGATACGCTTAATAGCTATAAGTATAGATTCTACTCTAATCTAAGCAAAGATTAGTAGCTTAGTGCCTAATCTTAGGTAGCTAATAATATTAGAAGTATTTTCTAAACTATTTATATAATACCTAATCTAGAAATTAATAGCTATAAAGCTATAATAGACTTATTTTATAGAGTTAAGCTGCTGTATTTATAATTACTAGCTAGAGCCTAGCTAGAAGATTAGCGCTTATACGTATCTTAATTAACTTAGTAATAAGCTCTTAGCTAGCTCTCTCTACTAAGCTATTAGGCTTATAAATATATAGTAAAGGCGTTATAATTATAATTCTCTTCTCTTTAGCCTATTTCTTATATCTTAAGTACTCTCTCTAAGGCAATGTTGTAGTATTATTATTCTAATAGATTTTTACAATCTTCTACTAATAGCAGCGCTTAACTATAGCTATAAAGCTTATAATAACTTCTATTATAGAGTCTAGCGTCTTATTCTTTAGGTTATAATTATATAGCTTACCTAAATAATTCTTCTTAATAATTAGAGCCTATTTATTAAGTGTATAGCTTATAAAGAAGTTAAATAAGTTCTATAATACTCTAAAGAAGAGACGTAGTAATAGCTTACAAGAATAATAAGAGATTCTTTAAGATATATAGATAGTAGCGTAATTATTACATTTACTACACTATATACCTATAATCTCTATATTCTAGGTAGCTTTAATAAGAGCCTTAAGAGCTTACTTACCTAGATAGCTAGATCTTTAGTGCTAAAGATTAGTGTTGCTAGTGCGTAATTATAGAACTTATAAATAGGTAATAGTATTTATAACTATAGAATTAGAAGAATAGATAAAAAAGTTATATTTAATAAATAAGAGGTTAAATCTATACTTAAGAGTTATAAGAATAATAGACACCTCTAGCGTACCTATTCTAATTATATAATTATAGCTTATATACTATATACTACTATTTCTAAGAAGCTTCTCTAAGATAATATTAGTATAGAAACTAGAGATAATCTTAACACTAGTAAGCGTAAGATTAGCTTTTCTAGGTTCTTTAGAGGTGCTAAGAATAAGACAAAGTATATAATTACTAATACTAATTACTAGAAGAATCTAGCTATCTATCTTAACTATTTCTTTATTAGTTTTAATAAAAGAATTAGACTTAATTAAAGCTTTATTATTAACTAAGTAGACTATAGCTCTACTATTAAGAATTATACTAGCTAAGAGCGTGTAAGGCTTAAAGCCTATACTAAAGATAAAAGGCCTAAACTTAGTAATTAACTTTTTAGAGCAAATAATTATTAAGACTATATTACCTAGATACTTAGAAGCTAGAGCGCTTATCTTCTAGCTAGATTACTTAACTTTCTTACGTAAGCTACTTTACTTCTCTTTATAATAGCGCTTCTAGATCTTTTACTTATCTTAAGCTAAGAGTTCTATTAGTAGAACGCTTAGTAGTCTAAATCTAGTAATTATAGTCTATAATTAGTAATATAAAATAGGCTTCTACTTATACTTTACGTTAGGTTTATAGAAGTAAGACTTAGACAGTAAGCTTAACTACTTCTTACCTAACTTAGTAGAAGTAAAGAGTTAACTTATAATAGTATTAAAGATTATATTAGCTTTTCTCTTTCTAGTAGTAATTAATATTTTCTAAAGAATAACGCTAAATACTTTACTAAGATTATTAAGGCTTAACGTATTCTTCTTAAGAGCTATAGTAAATAATTAATTATATTACTACTAGTAGGCCTACTTAAGGTTAAACTTCTTAACTATAGTAAGAAAGTTAGTAATTATAAGAGGTTTTTTAACCTCTAAGAGCTTAAAGATTTTTACCTTCTAGTAAAGTATTAACTAGTTATTAAACTACTTCTTAGTAGTTTCTCTCTAGATCTTCTTAAGATAAGTGTAATACTTTATGTAAACTATATATTGCGTAGTCTAATTAGTAGAAGTAAGTATAGTCTTAAAAGTCTTTATAAGAAACTAGACTATTCTTCTATTATTACTTATAGTTATAAGTAATAAGTAATTAGGCGTAATAGTACGTATAATCTAGGTCTTAACATTATTAATCTTCTTACTCTTTCTTAACTACTACTTAGACTTATAGTTCTAGTAGGCTATAAGTATAGTACTATTCTTAGTTTTATAATTATAATCTTATAAGAAAGTATTATACTTATAAGTAGCTTTATTATACTTATTTTTTTAATTTTTAGTTAGCTTTATAGAGAGAGAAGCTAGAGCTATAAGCTCTAGAACTAAAAGGTTAGAGAACTTAAGCTTCTAAGTATCTATATATTTAATATCTAGAAGATTAGAATTAATCTCTTTTTAGATACCTTTCTTATTATAGTGTTACTTAAGAAGCGCAAACTAGATATTCTAGTTAGATTACTTTTTAAGAAGCACGCTTATAGCTATAATAGCTATATTATAATTACTTATATCTATAAAGTTAGAGCGTAGAATTAATATAGAGATATAGAGAATAATAAAGAGGTAAGTAGTAATTAAGTAATTACGTAGAAAGAGTTTTAATTGCAGAATATTTAGAAAGAGTAGAGTAAAAATAAGATTAACTAATCTTATCTTCTAGTAAGCTTTAATGTGTAGTAAGAATTAGTTTTATAATTAAGTAGCTAGGCTTATAACTATTAGAGCTAGAGATAATTAATAATTAGAAATAATTAAGTATATTATAATTAATCTACTATAAAAGAAAGTTAGGATAAAATCCCTAGTTATATACTTAAGAGCTAAGCGATTACGTGTCTGCGATTAAGCGATCACAACTGCTCTCCAACTTCGACAGCATGACCTATCCAGGGCCGATGCGCGAGATGACACGGCCAGTAGTGACCGCAGCGATGAAGCCGGAGATCACGACAGGACAGAGATGAGCCATTGTGAGAAGTGGGGACTCGCCACGCAGCTGCTGGAGCATTTGGATGAAGTAATAAACCCAAATACCTGCAACTGTGGTTAGTCATGCGCTCAAAGGTATCTGGAAAGGCGACTCTTACCGAAAGCGGCCCAGCCACAGGCTATGCAAGTCAACACGAACGAGACATCCGTGCTGAGAGCATCAAATGGGATGAGAGGCTTCTTGGCGACTTTAATCTCGATCCAAAAGAAAAGCGGAAAGAGAAGAAGGCCGACTATTAGCAGGACGTAGATGTAGGGGTGTCCCCATCCAAAACCAGGCGCTTGGTTCCAGGCGAAGTTGAACAGGATCATGGCGGTAATGCCCACACTTGCACCGAGTAGGTCAAGCTCACGAACTCGTTCCCTGTGCGAGAGATTGCGAACTTCCGGATCGAGCGGTACTGAGGGGAGGATGAAGATCGACAAAATGGCAAGGCAGAACAGCGCAATACCGAACGTCCAGAATGCCCATGGCCACCATAAGAGCGCCCAGAGACCAGCGAACGCGCCGCCAGCTATACCACCACCTATATGACGTTAGGCAATATCCATAAGACAATGGGCAAATACATACCGGGTGCGCATGCTCCAAATAGCGAGAACACCATATCCTTCCTCTTCCCCTCGTTGTACGTCGCGCCTAGTAGGCCAAGCGCATTGGGCAGTAAAATTGCCGGTCCAATACCTCCCAGCACGCGCGAGAAGATGAAAAGCACCTGGCCGCCATTGCCTTCGATATAAACGCTGCAGCCGGCTACTATCATCCAGACGCCGAACCAGATATAGCCGATGATCAACATGTTTTTGTATCCGAAGAGATCTCCACAACGGCCAGATAACAGGATGAAGGTTCCGACTGTCAACGAATAACCCGCTATTAGCCAGGACAGAACGCCGGGGTCGGTGATACCAAGATCGGATCCAATGATGTGCAAGATGTTGAGAGTGCCGAGCAGACCTGCTTGTGTAACGAACTGAGCAGAGCAGAGCAAGCCAACAAAGAAAGCTTCGCGGAGTGGAGACATGGTCTCTGCGATTGACTTCGTCTTTGCGAGTTCCAAGTCCTGCTGCTGCTTGGAAGCATGCGCAGAATGCGCAGAGTTGTGGCGGCCCATGTTTTCTTGGGAGTCGCTGTCGTCGAAGTCCTGGTCCGAGGTAGACGAAAGCTTCCCGCCTGCTGGCTCTAAAGAGCCTCTTGGTTCCTCCATTTCGAGATTGTTCGACGACGTGACCGAGGAAAGCGCCTGCTGGAGTGTGTCTTCTCGAGACTACCGTGAAACGCTCTTGCTATCGCGACAGATCGTGAATGTGAACTTGTGCTGGATGAACTTCAAATTCTGCGCCTACGTTGTTTTGGCTGTGAGTTCCGAGATGGTACCGCGATGACGACAGTGCTCGTTGATTCTCAACGACGCGCCTCGAAGCGGAGGCAGGCGATGTCTGTGTAAAAATGACTACCGCGATTCGAAGAGCGTGTAGAAGTATGTGTGCAAAGGTGACCACAGCGCGATGCGCGTCCTAGTTTGGCGCCCATCGCTCCTGACATTTTTCTGAGCAATCTTCAACGTTCTTTACGTGAGCGCGGAATTGCGTCTGTCAGGCAAAGAAAAGCGGGTCGGCCGAGCTTCAGCCGCGGTCAAAGTCAGGATCTGATAACGCGCAAAGACGTTTTTCTTCGGAAAAAGCGGGCTTCGATTCAGCACCCAAAGATCTAGATTTGGCTACGGATTTATGAGCGCTTGTGATGCTAAGTAAGCCACACAATAAGCATGTGTAACATGACCGCGGAAGACGGCCGTTTGGACCTTTTGCAAAGGCCGCTAAAACATTCATCCGCAGGCGCGAATGCGCAGGTTTCGCTGTGCGATCCTCACCGCAGTCTGAGTCAAAGGCGCACTCGATTCTTTCTGTACGATGTCCACGCAAGATCATGCGACTATCTACCGCCTCTTATCCTCATAAACCCTCACCCCAAGAACCTTCCAGACAGCCCAACTATGCCCCCCAACCCATATCGGCCCACCCCTCCAAAGCGGCAACACATCCTCCCTCCCCCTCCTCCTCTTAACAACAGGCTCCTCCCACTCCCCCTGCTGAAACCGCTCAACATCATCCCTCCTAACAGTATGCGTCCTTGCACTCGCCGCCATCGTCCAAAACCCCACCACATGCCCCTGATCGATCTTATGTTTCAACCAGCCCTTGCCTTTATTTTCCTCGACGCTATTATTGAGAAGAGATAGCAGCTCGGTGCAAGTATAGTCGGCTTTTCCCTTTGGTAGAGTGACGGAGCTCAATTGTGTGCGGTGGGCTGAAGCGGGGATCTTGTCGACGACGATGGGGGACCAGAGGAAGGGGAAGGGCGCGTACATGAGCCGGAGAGATAGGCTCAGGAGGACTGCGACGGGGAAGTCTAGGCCGATTGATACGCCTGCGCGGAGGGCGGATCCGAAGGTAAGCCGGGGTGGGGATGTGGGCGTTGAGAAGAAGAGGAGGTGTCTCTGGAACGCGGAGTATGTGGGACGAGACATGGTCATGGGTTCACGTCTGCTTGGAGAGCTTGCGACGCGTCGAGGTCGTTGAGAATGTGCATATCTGCGAGACAAAGGTACGGTTTCGCGTGTTGAAGTCATGACGTCACGCGCATCCAATGCACCAGTGCATAATGTGATGATGTGGAACAGGCCAGTATCTATGTATTTCTTGCCTAGAGCACATACAAGCACTACAATACCACAGTTATCGTGTGAGCATAATTGTGATTTTCATATTGTCGCTACTATTTTGCCATCGATTATAGCATCACCAAACTTCCTACAACCGCAGCAATCATCGCACTGCCCAAAACGCTCGCGGAGAGACCACCGGACGCAGCCGCGGTGTAAGTCGGCATGGGCATGCCCGTACCAGAAGGTGTACTTCCGTTGGTCGATGTGCCGTTACCAGCTAGATCTGGGAACAGATAGCTAGTATTGGCATCGACAACGATCCAGTTTCGCACCAGGGCCGTTCCATTCATAACCGACTCCCACTGCTCCGCTGTGCATTGGCCGGGATCAAGAACGTAGCATTGCGTGCCTTCGTCGACAATGGGTTCGTTGGTGATGTTGTACACGTCACTTGGTCCTTCGCTGGCGTAGTCGGGGGTCTCGGTCGTAGAGATGTTGCCGGTGCTGATGTCGCGGTTGAAGAGAGCGCGTGTAAAGATCTTGTATGCGGTTTCCGGTTGGTAGGCTGGTACTTCATGACCAGCTTCGTACACTCGCGTAAAGGATAGATTGCCGTATTGACGCACTTGGCCACCGATGTAGGTATCGTTCACGACGACAGGCGCGTATCCAGCATCCGCGAATGAAGTGGCGTTGTCGTAGGGGATAGCAAGCGAGAGCAGTTCACCACCGTACCCTAAACGTTGCAGAGTGTCAGTTCATGTCTCAAACGCAGCCTTCTTGGGGCAATACTGACAATTGCAGGCATAGTCTCGGTCACCATACACCAATGTGACCTTGATACCTTCTTCGAGAAGATACGCTAGATCCTCCTTCCAACCTGGACGTGGATAATCGCCAATACCTCGGAATGCCCGCGACACGGCCGAGTTCGATTGAGTCCAGTTGAGAGGTACACCAAGTCCATGCTGTACATGTGGCTGATTCAGCCAGCCTTGATACCATGGTGGTGGGAAAGCAGCTGCACCGGGGGCGGAGATGTCGTAGTAGTTGAGGTCGGTGTCGAAGTAAGGATCACGGATCGTTTCGGAACAGAATGTCTCTGCCGCCTCACATACTTCGTTGACGGTCTCGTTGTAGCCTTGGTTAGTAGGATCGTATACAAGGCTGATGTTGCGACATTCTTCAATTTGATCAAGACAGCCTCCCTCCTTGTATAGGTTGTCGAGCACTTCCTCATAGCGCGACTCGTTCACAGCCTTGATACCGTATGTGTTGTTGTACTGCATCCTTGGGTAAGCCGGCCATTGGACGTAACGATCAATGCAGCCATTAATGATAAGTAGAGTGTCGAGGTGTAAGAGATGTGTCTGTCCGGCCTCGCTCCACGTCCCGTTCTCGATCTTCTCGTTCTGCTCCTGGAAGTAAGCTGCAAACGCTGGTCCATAACGACCTCCGTAAGATTCTGTCGCAATAGAGATTCTGTCATCATTTGGCTTGTGCTCAGGAAATTCCTGGAACCAGACTTGGGCGAAGTTCCAGAGCGCTCGTGCAGAGTTCTCAGTACCGCGTGTGGTGAGGTTGGAGTTTTCGCTAGGGTAGGTGCCGACATAGAAGCTGTTGTTTTGAGGAGGAACAGGGCCGTTGCCGAAGTCTACAACCTCAAGATCGCCGGTGTCTAGATTGGTGGTGATGTTGACCAGGCTGTCATAGCTCATGCCAACCTGAACGGGCTGGTCGAGGTAAAGCATGTTGACTGTGTTCGTTAGGCGTGATACTTGAAAGACCAACTGCTACAATTGGGACTAACTCACCTTCGTTGTTCCATGACCATTCGTTCAGATAGGTACTGTTGGAGTCGGCACCGATGAAGCATGGCCCGTTCTCACGCAAAAGTCCAACAAAGGAACTGGAGCCAGGTCCACCTGATAGTGTCAGTCCACGTCGCAATGCGTCCTTCCCAAGCTGCCTACCATTCATCCAGATCGAGAGAGGGGCATTGGCAGGATCTTTCCTCGATTCAAAGAACCAAAAATAGGTGTTGATCTCGTAGGTTTGGTTCTCGACACCGAGATCGGCAAGTGCTCCAGCTGGGAGGTGAACATAGCCGGAGAAGCTTCGGACTCCTTCCGTGGTTTCACAGAGGTCGGTCTGGGGTCATTAGTATATGGATCAAGCACTGTGAGGAGGATGGCCTACCTCCTTGTATGAGATCGTGACTCCCTCATCAAGTTGCGATTCAAGAACGGTCACGCCCTCTGGTGTCGGAGGAAACTGGCCATTGATAAGCCCACTCAGAAGCCCAGCTGCTCCAAGAAGCGACAGCCTGAATGCAACCATGATTGCTGTGGTAAGAGGAGATCGAGCTCTTCAATCTGCTGCGGGCAGAGGCTACGGAAGTACCACAAGTGCCAACTTTATAGACAGTTCTTGACATTGGGGTACCTTGACTCGTCTGCCTGGCAACCATGTACAAGCCTGCATGTGCCTGCATGTCAGACAATGAGCTTCCTGGTTGAGCTATAGCGCGTGTATCGCCGCAGCGGCACCGACCTGAGGCAGCCAGTTCATGACGTCGAATGGCATTCTAGCGAAGTGATACGGGCGGGGACAATGCATAGCCAAGGCTGCCAAGGAGGCTTTGCGTCACTTGTTTATTCGGTAATGTCTTAGTTGTTCGGCTACCGGATGCGGAGGAGAGTTGGATCTTTGCTGCGAAGCGTATGTGGAAGGTGATGAGGGTTGCCGGCGATAAGAAGCCAACGTTCCGGAAATGGCGGGGGGAGCTTTCGTCGGCGGTGTTCCGCGCTCCTCCAGCTGATCGAGCTCTTCGCACGCTACGAAGACGATAATAGCCAAGCCCTGGTCGACGTACAAGCAACTCAAGCAAGAAACGGCGGACGACTGCCAATGCCTCTAACTATACTGGTAGTCAGCGTCTGATTGGAGTCGTTCCCCAAAGGATTCACGCCATCCAGGTCGAAGTCAAGAAACGGGAGACGTGGAATTTCTGTTCCATTTGATCATCCAAAATACTGATATACAGGGATGTAGTTGTAACTCGGTAGTCGGTATGCTACACGTATATGAACAATAATCAATAACAATCCTGGGGACAAGCCTCATGCGAGTAAACTCTGCGCCACGAAACGCCAATCGCAATTGTTTCCCAAAAGCAGCCTCTCTGGTATGCACACGAATTCCAGATCGCAAACAATACGCGCCACTTCCTCCAAACTCGGTACCAACAGAAGTGAAGATTGGGTATCTGCCAAAACAACGGTGCCAGGTCAAACCGGCGCACCCCAAGCTGCTCGCAGGCGACGCGCGAGTTGAATGTCCTTTTGCTGTATGGTAACGCGCTTGGCATGAATGGCGCAGAGGTTGGCGTCGTGGAAGAGGTTGACGAGGAAGGCTTCGGTGGCTTCTTGAAGGGCGACGATGGCTTGACTCTGCCATCTGTTGGGGCCGTCTTCGGTTGTGACTGTTTGCGCGATCTCGCGGACCTGGAGGCACGTTAGCTGACTGTCGCCAGAATGTCTGTATGGAGTGTCCGTACGAGGCGCTGGAATGGGAGCTTCAGGAGCAGCAGGTCGGTCGACTTCTGGTAGCGCTTGATCTCACGGAGAGCGACGGTGCCGGGCTTGTAGCGCTTCTTTGCGCGATCGGGAGCGGGTCCTGCTTGTCCAACTGCGCAATGGTCAGCTGGGATGCGCAGGCTTGCCTATTCGGCGCACTACGTACGTCTCTTGCCCGACTCCTTCCTTCCTCCGACACTCGCTCGTCCACCTCGCGACGGTCGCGCCTTGTTCTTTCTGGTGGGAGATTTGGGAGACATGTTGGTTTTGGTGTGTAAGGATATCGCGCGGTGTGTCGGGGACCAGGTGGATCAATTGGAGCGTGGGATTGGCGACGAGGGAGGGATCACGGCGCGTGCACGGCGCGAAAAGTCGCGAAGCTCAAGCGCGTCAAGATCAACAAGACGAACGGTTGGCACGTCGTCGTCAGGTATATCGATGAGATGGCGTACGAGGGTCGCGGTAGTGAACGGGGCACGGGCGCATCGTCCTTCGCGATTCTGACCGTCTGCCGACGCGACTGGGACGAGGGGCTGGTGCTGTGGCTGGTTCGCATTCACCCAGGGTAGGAGCTTGGACCCCGACTCCCGGCGTGCGGAAGGTGCGATCGCGTGCTGTTAGTCCTAGCGCCTTGGCGGACCATCGGACAAGTTACGTAGCCACATGGGCCCCATCGTTCACACGCTCGGAAAGCGGCTGCGTTTGCTGAGCGACACTTGGCCTTTCGCTGCTTACTTAGGTATCTGAGTGCAGGCGCTGCAACCTGCCTCTTTCCCTCATTCTTCATCCTGTGTTATCCCTAGAGCGCTCAACCCACCATGGCGAATGTTCTGCAAGGCGGGGACGGCATGATGGGAGGGGCCGGAGGCTTTCCGCTCGAGCAGTGGTTTTACGAAATGCCCGTGTGCACGCGCTGGTGGATGACGGCGGCGCTGAGTGCCAGTGTGCTGGTGCAGTGCCATATCATCTCGCCCTTCCAGCTCTTCTACAGCGTGCGCACCGTCTTCTTCAAGAGCCAGGTACTACCACTACTACCACTGCGTTGTTCCAGCCCGTACTGACGTGCATAGTACTGGCGACTGCTCACCACCTTCTTCTACTTCGGCCCACTCAGCCTCGACCTCCTCTACCACATCTTCTTCCTCCAGCGATACGCGCGCCTGCTCGAGGAATCGTCCGGCCGCTCCACGGCACACTTCGCATGGCTACTCACATTCGCTTCGACGCTGCTCCTCTGCATCGCGCCCATGTTCTCCATGGCCTTTCTCGGCTCGGCTCTGTCCAGCACCCTCATCTACATCTGGAGCAGGAAGAACCCAGACACCATGCTCAGTTTCCTTGGCCTGCTGGTCTTCAAGGCGCCCTACCTGCCCTGGGTGCTCTTGGCCTTTTCGCTCATCATGCATGGGACGGTGCCCAAGGATGAGATGTGCGGCATCGTGGTCGGCCACAGTACGTCTGCGCTCCCAGCTCTTGTTGACAACAACTAACCCACTCCAGTCTGGTACTATTTCAACGACATCTACCCGCCGCTGCACAACAACCACAGCCCTCTCGATCCTCCCGCGTGGTGGCTCCGCCTGATCGAAGGGCCGCCTGCTCCGGCAGAAGAGACTGCCGAGGACGAGGCGCCGAACAATATGGACGCAGGCGGCGAGGACAATGCCGCAGAGGCGGAGCGATAAACGCAATCGTGACAACGTGCATTTACATCTGGCGTTTGGCGAAGACTCACGGATTTGAGATACCCTAGCTGTCTTTGGAGCATTGTTAGCTGCATTGGTTTTGTAGGTACATACATGAGACACCCACCCGTACAACGTGCTACCCTGCCCACGGGATCTTTAGATGTTCATCTCCGGCTGTGTTTTTGTGGTTATCCAATCAAGACGGGCAACGTGCTCTTTGACAGAGGCTCAAGTTGAGGTCGGCTACCCAGCTCCTGCCTATCGTGGCGTAGCACCTTCCTTTCTGGGCTAGCATCGCTATGGACCTGCATATCGTCGCTCACGCTCTACAGGGTCTCGATCAAGCATCGTGGCGACGAAACGGCCATGGCCGATACCGCCAGAACTATTGGTCGACATCGGTGCCGTTCCCAGCTGCTTATAACATCGCATGTCCTCTCCGTGAGCATAACAACAAGCTTCTTTTCTGCTTCACTTCGACCCAGCCCGATAACTTCAACGTCCAAGATGGCACCATCGAAGTCGCTTCTACCTCTCCTTGCGGCAGTACCCTATGCTTCCGCTTGGGGCTCCCTCGGTCACACCGCAGTGGCATACATGGCACAGAATCTCGTCTCCCACAAGACGGCCAAGTTTGCGCAGACCCTCTTGAACGACACCTCATCCGCATATCTCGCCAATGTGGCTACCTGGGCTGATAGCTTCCGCTCTGAGCCGGAGGGGAAGTTCAGCTCAGTGCTCCACTACATCGATGCGCTCGACAACCCGCCTGAGAGCTGCAATATCGACTACGAGCGCGACTGTCCTGAGGAGGGTTGCATCGTTTCCGCCATCGCCAACTACTCTAGCCGCGCTTTCCAGAAATCAGTCGGCATCGTAGAACAGCAAAGAGCCCTGAAATGGGTCATTCACTTCGTCGGCGACGTTCACCAACCACTCCACGTAGAGAACATCGCCGTAGGTGGTAACCTCATCAACGTCACCTTCAATGGCGCGCGGACGAACCTGCATTCCATCTGGGATACAGCAATCCCGCAAAAGGCCTACGGCAACTTCTCACAAGCCAATGCATTGGCCCTAGCCAACAACCTCACCGCGGAAGTGAAGCATGGCAAGTTCAAGAAGGAGAGCAAGACGTGGCTCAAGGGACTGAAGGCGAAGGATGCAGTCAGCAGCTCCATGACTTGGGCGCGCGACGCCAACAAGTTCGTGTGCTCCACTGTCATTCCCAACGGCCCTGATGCAGTGTTCGCGCAAGAGCTGTCAGGAGCCTACTGGGACACTGCTATTCCTGTCGTTACGAAGCAACTCGCAAAGGCGGGGTACAGACTTGCCGCGTGGCTGGATGCTCTCGTCGAACTCAACGAGAAGAAGGGTCATGGAAAGTGGGAACGGGAGACGAAGAGGGCGGTCACCCTGCAGCCATGGCAGGAGGAAGCGAGACAGGCTCGACGCGAATTTGGGCCTGACTGCGGTTGCGGCGAGGATCATGCGCACTAGAGGACTATGTTAGATGATTTGGATGGACTTGTACAGTGGAAGGATGTAGATTATGAAGAGTGGACGGCAAGACGAGATTATGAGATGTTGAGATGATGAACACGAGATAATTTGATTAGACAGTGAGAGCTCATACAAGAATAAAATTGAGCAAGTCTGGAGCCTACATCGCCACCAGATCACCTGTCTTGTATGCTTCCATGTTGATGTAGGCTGTAGGTCTGTCCAGTTTTTTTCCTGGTTGACATGGTGATTACCACCGCATTAATCATCATGCAGGAGCGAATGGTCGACATTGCAGACAGTCAGATACAGCAGTGTTCGGGACATTTCGCAGAATACAAGATGCTGTAGTGCGACGCCGAAGTTGCAAGTGGTAGAATGTGCGATATCGAAGTATGCTCATATAAGTACAAAAAAAGGACATTTACACAGCTTTCAAGCACTCATCGATGATAGCAGACACCTGCAGGCATTCTTCATCGCGCATCTTGTTCGTGAAGACCTGGATGGCAGTCGGTGCACCATCCACGAGCTTGGGATCATCTGCATTGAATACATTAGCTTGCGTCTCAAACGCGTACAAAGAGTCAAGACGGCGACTTACAACTCGGGCCTACTTGGCCTGGACCCATGACAAAAGGCTCAGCATCTAGAGCGCTTGAGGCTTTACCAAAGGGAAGTACGCATGCGGGATACTGGCTTGACGTTAACAATGCTCTCTACAGCCACTTCGAGATGGGTAAGCATGACTTACATCCAATACGTTCAACAGTAGCGTATACGGCGGTAACCCGTATGTATCGTGCGCGACCGCAGTGTGCTGTGCAGCCGGACCGATTACTCCGTCCAATTTCTGCTCCTTCCAAATCTTCCTCCACTCATCTTGGATAGCATCCCGCTTGACATTGAGCGCAGCTAATTTCTTGATGCCCTCCAGGCCCTTGCAGTCGTCCAGGAAGTCACACTTGAAGGAATGGAAAACCTCCATGGACTGGATAACTGAAGGAACAACAGGCTCACCGCTAGCGGCTACATGCGTCGGGGGAGTGTCGTCAAGCATAAAGAAGGCAAACGCGAGGGCTAGCGCATTGGCGACCTGAGTGCGCGCCGGCGCGATAGGAACCACCTCGTGGCCCTTTGCTTCGAGCGCGCTGACAGCTTGTGCTAGCGCTCTTTTAACCGGCGGATGCAAGGGGAAGGCTGAGTCCTCGGCCAAAAGACCCAGTCTTAGCTTCGGCGCGCTCGGTGGTACTTCTAGGCTTCTCCAAGGAACGTCGAGAGCAGAGGCGTCGTACAAGGCTGGTCTCACTGATAGGAGTGACCGACACAGAATGCCTAGAGCTTGTATGTCGTTTGCGAGGGGACCAGCGGACGGGTTGAAGAAGTTGTTGCCAGCGGATACGGGCGATATTTGTCCGCCATCTGGAATGCGCGCTGTAGAGGGCTTGAAGCCGTAGGTGCCACAGCAAAGAGCGGGTATGCGGATTGATCCTAGTGTAGATCAGCAAGTCTGATCACTACAACTTCGACGACATGTACTGACCTGCAATGTCTGTTCCAACACCGAGTGGAGATCCTCGAAATCCAACAAGGGCACCTTCGCCTCCGCTCGACCCTCCCGCAGTGAGGGCAGTGTTGTGAGGGTTCAAAGTACGCCCGAAAATGTTGTTCTGTGAGTCAGCCGTCTGTATCCCATTAGTTCATGAGCTTTCTTGATGTCGAGATGGGACAGTGAACTTGCCATCATGGTCTGAGGGATATTGGTCTTGACATATACGACTGCGCCTAGCTCGAGCAAGATATCCACAAGCGGGGAGTTCTCCTTCGACGCCGCATGGTCCAGGAACGAAACAAACCCAATAGTGGCCGCTGAGCCAGCGACCTGGAAAGCGTCCTTGATACTGATGGGTAAACCGTGGAGAGGGCCTACGATACGGCCGCTTGCTCTTTCACTGTCGAGGAAGCGTGCTCGCTCCTGTGCTTCAGGGAAGTATGTCTCTGTAAGGCAAGACAGCTACAACGCTACTTTAGTGGCTTGCCCTTCATTGTGAGTGAGATGGAACTGACCAGCTGCTGTGCCATAGCTGCTCTCTTCGAGAACGCTATGGTAACCTCCAGTGACGACAAAGTACCATCCTTTAGCTGCTTCAACAGCTCTTCAACGGTATACTTCTCGGTAATCTCAAGTTCCTTCTCATTCAACAGTCCCGACTTTCGTGCAATGCCCATCTTCATCAAGCGATTTGGATGTTCCGAAAGCGGCATTTGAAGCATGTCCGTGACTGATGTTGGAAGAATCCATTCTTTTGGTATCTTCTCGCGACTCGACTGCTGCTTCGCAGCAACTTTACTTTCCCATGAAGCGGAAGCCATATTTGATGAACAAAGGGAATTGCAAAGTCTCGGAAAGATTCGAGTTGAAGAGATACGGGCTGGACGCGTAATATTGGTAATGACAAGCATCCGGGGATGCTAAGATATGTATATGATTAGAATACTCAGATGCCGTAGTATCTATCCGTAGCTGAATAATGCGGGGTCCAGATCTCGTCCGCATGATCGCGAGGCAAAGTGTTGATATCTGGCCGTGTCGGAGCAACATTTCGTTTCGTGTCTGAGCGGCAGACGTTAGCGCGACACTACCCCACAGCCGCCAGCGCCAAGCCGGTGGGTTATTTAATTCGCAATTCGCCCAATTCGCCCCGTTCGCCTGCGGAAACACGCAATCCGGGGTTCGAGATAGGGATGCGCAGATAACGTACAGAACACAGCTGACACTGCCTCAGCGGTCGCTGTGGTATATATACGCACGAAAGCTCTGGATAACAGTGGGGAAGATATCCACGCAACAAGCTCCATGCCTGTGATAGACAACCTCTTCAACGCGATTATTTTTGTTTCGTACCCTCCTGAGAGCGATGGCCGACAGCAATGGCTCCAGACCGGATGATGGCACTTTTTGGGCTCCGGGAACGCTACGACTAGAGGATTGTAAGACTCGCATTTGCCGCTGTAAAGACCGCACACTGACTGTCCCGCTGTAGTGACGGGACCCGCAACGGACGTCATCCTCCACCCAGTGCCTAGCACCGAACCAGATGACCCCTTGAACTGGAGCAAATTGCGCAAGACCATCAACTTCGGCTTGACCGGCTTCTTTGTCCTTTGGACATTTGTACAGCTCCAGAGCGGCACGACATCATGGGGTCAAATTGCGCCTGAACTGAGCTTCAGCAACGATCAGCTGAACAATGGAGGCGCTATGAGCTGTGCTGGGCTTGCAGTCGGCTGCATGCTCTTCATGCCGTTCGTACACAAGTACGGACGACGACCTCTGTACCTGCTCAGCTCTGCGCTCCAGTTGAGTGGAGTGTTGTGGCAGACCCAGATGGCGAACTATGGTGACTATTTGGGCAGCAACTTCCTTGCTGGACTGGGCGGTGCTATCAGCGAGGCCGTCATCCAGATCACCATTGCCGATTTGTTCTTCGTCCATCAACATGGAACGATGAACGCATGGTACCTCGTCTTCACGTCCGTGGGTGCCTCCCTCGGCCCGGTAGCCGCCGGCTTCGTTGTGGAGTCGCAGGGCTGGAGATGGATCTGGTGGTGGTGCACAATCTTCCTCGGTCTAAACTTCGTCCTCGTCATGTTCTTTTTCGAAGAGTCCAAGTACGTCCCTTTCCTCAATGGTCAGAGTGTGCCACATACGGCTGGCACTTCTGGCTCGGATGGACTCGAGGACGGCCGTCCCGACTCAGGGCTGCAAAAGGCCACAGACGGCAAAGGCGACGCAAAGCACACCGCCATGGAGCGCATACAATCCCGAATTGACACCTCCTTACCACGAAAGACTTATCGTCAGCGCATGGCCATCGTCACCCCTTCCAATCAACGCATCGGCCACCACTTCTACCAGCCAATCGTTGTCTTGTTCACTTTCCCTGCCGTGGCCTTTGCTGCACTCACTTATGGTACCCTGCTGGCGTGCATGGCATTGATGAGCTCATTACAGGCCGTCTACCTGTTGCAACCACCATACAACTTTGGAGCTTCTGGCGTTGGACTCATGAACATTGCTCCGTTCGTTGGCACGTTCTTTGGATTCTTCGCGGGTGGTTTCCTGAACGACAGATCGATCATGTACTTCGCCAGGCGGAATGGAGGCATTTACGAACCAGAGATGCGCCTGTGGATCACTCTTATCTCAGCAATCCTGCTCCCGGGCGGTATCCTGATGTTTGGGCTAGCCTTAGCCAGGGTATGTTGGTAACACCTGGCTGTAATGATGGTTCACTAATAGCTTCTTCAGGGTCTGCACTGGATGATATTGGCCGTAGGATTCGGGCTGTTCGGTTTCACATTTGTCCTAGCTAGTGGTGTCGCGCTATCATACGTGACAGATTGCTATCAAGAGGTGAGTCGACAGCTCCCAGTCTATTCGAAGCGGAGTTCCCACTGACATGACCACCTTCAGATCCTCGGAGATGCTATGATAGGCATCGTCTTTGTCCGGAACCTATTCGCCGTGGTCATCCTCTTCGCACTCACGCCGTGGACGAACAATATGGGTATACAGAACGTCTCCATCATCACGGCGGCTGTATGCTTTGCGATCTTGCTAATCCCCATCCCCTTGCTATTGTGGGGCAAGAAGATCAGGGTTGCGACGGCGACGAAATACAAGCGCATGGCAATGCGACAGCCAGCCCATAGAACACTTGAGTAGTGTTCATGATGGGTATCGCATCGCTACGCTGTTCCTGGGAAAAGCAGAGCGGTTGGAGTGTCCCTGCACAAACAACTTCTTATGGTATCTTCATCCCACCCAGATGCTTTCCACCAAGGCATTGTCTTTTGGGCTGTGTGCTCTCCATAGTCGAGAGCTTCATTGTGGAAGCCACGAAACGATCTCGCTCCAATGTATTTGAGCCGTACTATCTTTGATGACCCAGAATGCCATGAGTTGCTTCTTGACCTTTGTTCGCAATTCTTTCGAAAACTCAATGACGACGTCGATCTTGTCGAGCGCCATTTCGCGCTGAGCAGAATCGACCAGCTCGAAGCAAGCAAATACATATGGGATAATGGCGCCCGGAACCGAGCGCTTGGTGATTTGGAGTATCATCCGCAGCTCTTCGAAGATAGCATTTGAAATGACAGTGCCTCTCGCTGACGCTGTGCCATATGGATGTCGCAGTCGATGTACAATAAGCAGCACCGACCAGCGATATAGTTTGGCTTGAGACATGATGCTAGCCACCTCTTCCTGTAAAAAACGGCTGATTTGCTCAACGGGCAGGATTGGCGTCCAGGCCTCGACGGCGACTTCGATGTCGTTCAGGGCTTGCGCAACCTCGGATAGATCGAGGTTAGGATTCTGGCGTAGCGAGTCCATGATCTTGCAAACATCGTAGAGGTACGGTAGCATAGGCCAGGCAATTCCCATATATCGATCAACAGTATCATCGTCCTCGTGGACCTCGAGCCGCAGGGTTGGAGCCTCGCCCCGTATGATGCACTCTTCAGTCTCCGCCTGGATGAGGCAGATGACGAAGGCCTGACAGTCCGGACTGAGCTCCACTGTCGATTCGTATATGGGCTTGATGATGTCGAGAGTGTGTCGACAGATCTCTAATGAGCTCCCGGATATGTGCAGGGCAAACGTGATGGCGCTCACTGCAAGCATCAACACGGTCTGAACGTCTCCAGGGTCGACGGCTTTAACAGACCGTAAAGTGGAAACGGCAGAGGCAGCCCGCCTGTGGCCAATGACTCGGTCCTCATGGTTTGGGCCAGGCTCGTACTCGCAAGCTAGGAGGGCCGCGGTGGCTATCAACGAATCTTGTACCCACGACGTTGCGTTGTGGAGCTGACGCGCGAAGGCTTTGTGGTGGCAGATGCGGAAGCTTGGCGCGATGAGGAACTGGTCGATGCGCGTTTGGCCTTGGGATACGCCCTTGACGAGGTGCATCTCCCGCTCACTCAGATCCGCGAACGGGGATGGAGCCCTGGGCAGCGCGACTATGTCCCAATCCGGCATCGCTGGGCTCGCGGCCGAGGCTGGGCATCTGGGTGACGAAGAAGCAACAGAGAGGCTGTCGCTCCGAGCCGTCTGTAGCGGGCTGCGTGTCGTACCCTCGGTGCGCTGATACCGAGGTTTGCGGCCAGCAGTGCCAACTGGTCGTAGGGTCTGGCATGAGTTGCGGAGGCGTTGGCATCGCTCGCAGGCATCCTGGCCGGGGACGCGCCTGCATCTCTCTTTCACGGCATGGCACCTGTCGCATGCTCGTCTTGCTGGCGGTCTGGCCATCGCGGGCGCTCTCCGGTGGGTCGCAGTGGATACATGCTCAGTGAAGGGTGGTGTCTGGAGAGCAGGCAAGGTAGCTGAAACACCGGCGGATGCTGAGTAACGAAACACGTGCCGTCCGGCAATCCCCGCGTCGCTGGCTTCGATCAACCGAGAAAGACATCGACCTGGGATCTTGTTGTATACACTGGGATATACATTTGTGAGTTGATAATACGATCATGATGTAAGTATTTATTTTGCTCGTTTTCGTCGCGTGTCGAATTTTGGTAAGTTAGTGAGAGATCCATGGAAGGAACGCCCCGCAGACTGGAGCTTCATGGGCGTTCACGGAAAGCACGCGTCTCTATGACGCGGCTGCCATGGAGGGAAAGCGCAACAGTCCTCAACATCGCGACTGGGTAAAACTTCCAAGGTTTGCGAGGCCCAATATCGACGTTCTGCTCATCCACCATCACTCATCCTCATCTCTTATCTTTCATCTCTCATCTCTTACCTCATTCCTCATTCTCATTCTTCCTCTCCTATCTCTCATCAATACCCCGCAACAGAACAAAAAGCAGAAGAAACCGAAACCGTCTGCAGCGGTGTTGGAGTCAAGGCTCCAGATTGCATACACTAGCTTCACTGCACGAGCCCCGGCAACTCTGAAGCCAACCGAAGTACCTATCGACATCGGTTCCCTGGCAGAATGGGTGACTCTGCTGAACACGCCGACTGAGTTTGGGCTCCCGTTGAGTTCGCGGAGGAAGGAACAGACCCGGACCAAGTTCGACACCGCCATGGACCTCACCAATGCGGGTGTCGCATACCTTGAGAACGTTATGCCTGCACTAGTCAAGGCAAACATGGCGATGAAAGAAAGGCTCAGATCACCTGCTAGCGAATCCATGATGACCGATGGCTCTCCACCGCCTCTTGGTCAGTATACAGCAGATGATGGTCCGCTCCCGTGCACGTCGTCGCTCCACTTCAACGACTGCAGCGGCACAGCAGATGAATTCGCCTCTGCGCCTGACAGAACGACTAGCGAGACAGCAATGATCGACGCTCCGCCTCTGTCTCCGGAGGAAGCTGTGTGCGAGCAGGGTGCGGGTGGTCCAAGCCAATTTGGCGAGTACGAAGAGTAAGTCGTGCAGTCATACAGCAATACAGCTGCTTACCGTAAACAGCGGCCTCATGATCGAACGCTGAGCAGCATCTGCCTTCGCCCGAAGACTGGATGTGCACACCAGACGAAGACCTGGCGCACGGCGTCATGGACGAGCAAGCCGACGACGGCACAACCTTCCAGCAGCCTGCCGAGGCGTCGCAGGAAGGCACGGCACCCCGACCCCCTCGCCCTCGGCTGGTGATACCAAACAAGCCGGCCCTTGAGCCACGACAGCTGGGCGAGACAGATCTACCAGTGGTCGTACGCATCCCGCGGAGCGATGATCCCAACAGCCGCCATGGTGACGTTAACTACAACAGCATCCCAGAAGATACAACAAATGCGATCACCAGCGCGATGACTAATGTACTGCTCGATTCACAGGGCACGCGCAGGTTGCAATGGGCGACAGCCGGAATCCGGTACCTGGTCGGCCCACCCATGCGTTAGCAACGCTGTCGCTGCAAAGGGTGCCAGAAATTCCACGTGGAAGCAGGCTGGGCATGACCGTACGCTTGCCTGCGATACATGTATCGAGAAGCACCGACCGTGCATCAGGCTAGAACAATTGGAGGGCGAAGAGGATCACTCGGTGGTTTGGTGTGCGCTGCCAGATGAGCTCCGACAAGGCTCAAAGCTAGGAGACATCACCTTCTGGATGCGTGTGAAATGATGGCTCAAGATAGCTTAGTTTCGCTAAAGACTCGGTGAAGGGCGGTAACAAGCCTGCTTATCAACGCTAGTTACATCGACTTTTGAATCTCTCTCACCTATGGCTGCACCGTGAGGTCCGTACTTTAGGTAATTAACGCTCATGCGCTCCCTCTGCCAATCTCTCTTCCACGTCCTTCTTACCTCACGTCTCGAGATTCGCCAACTACATTGTCAAGGACAAGCCGCGATGGAGGCCGAATGGCCTTTAAACGAGTATGAAACGTCTCGCCATTCACATAACCAAGCTAATCATAAAACAGCTCTCGGAAGACGGCGAACGCTATCCCCGATGATGGAAAACCAGGTCTAGAAACTTGCCCCAAACGACGGTATGGAAATGTCGACGTGAAAGGTCCAATGGAAGCCTGGATCCACGATGTCTTCCTTGGAGTAGTACACACACACATAAGCCTGTCGAGCTTCAGGTTGCACACATCCCCCGTGACAGCTGCCAGACGTTCCCGCTCGCCAAGTATGACGGTAGCTACAACAGCCGACACTGCGTCTCAAGCACTGGCATCAGTGTTATGGCGTGAGTACCACCCAACATGCTACGCTAGAATTCTGCTAATCATCTTCGCTAGATCTACATACATTGACGAGAGAGCTATCACGTACAACCGCGCGCGCGTACAGTGAAGGATCTCTTGGGGGTTCTCACCATATACACCTGGACAGCCGTTTTATTTCGCACCTCCAAAACTCTGCTAAGATTCATGTAGCCATCGAAATGCAAGTGAAGCCAGAAGGCCGGCCGCAAACTGCACCACATAGAGGTGGTCCGCGCGTTGCTCCGCAATGCTCCTGCCTGTTTTGTATCTCTCACCTTTGTGTATCGCTCACAACAACACCTACACTCCACGACAGCCAGTCGCCCACGCCGTTACAGCGCAACGACTACCGAACCTTCTCGCAGCATGAGGTAAGTACTACTCGGCACGCTCCACTGAAGCTCTACTAACCATCTTTATCAGCGACCTTCCCGTCTTCCTGATCGATAACCGAGCAAGAAGTGACAGCAGCAGCTCCGGCGAGAACGGGCTTTCACAAGCTTTTTGTGACTCACTGGAGAATCCGCACGACACCTCTGAGGATGACAAGGCCATGTACCCCGTCAACAATGAGCCAATCATCCTAGACCTCAACCCTGAGCTGCGCTACGAGCAAGTCAAGGTTACCGGATCACCAGAGGCCTGGGTTGACAGTGTGCTACCAGGAGCGGTGATTGCGCGCAACGTACCAGTTCCGCTCGCCTTCGATGACATCCCCCATGACCTCCGTCAAAGCTTCCCGCTTGTCAAGTTCAATGGTTCCTACAGCTGCCGGAACTACGGCCTGCACCAGCAGGTCGCTGATGACAAGATGTGCATGAGAGCACTGACGACCCCGGACGGATGCGAGAACCCAGAGTGCTGGTTCCAGCACCTGCCGCCTACCACGGACCACATCGCATTCTATCTGTCGCTGGGACCACTCGGCAAGAAGCTGATCTACAACCTCACGAAGAACTTCGTGGCACAGTACCCGAAGTATCGTCATGGAGAAACGTCCAAGGTTGGAAAGCGGCCCATTGGGCAGATAACTGCTAGCATCAGCGAGGAGCAGAGGTACGAGGTTGTGCCGACCGGCCTCATAAAGTACAGCTGCGTCAAGATAACTGCGCTCAAGTCGGGCATCCTAGGCGATCTCTTCAGGCATGGGACGAACTGCACGCCAGTGGTGCCGAACACAAAGCTCAGCTCCACGGTGAAATGAGGCTCTGACTCCTGGTGCCAGCCATGTCTGGCGTACACCTGGGTTCCCGTCGCCCCTTTTGGGAGGAGGTCCTCATTCCACCGTCCAAAGGCGAACTGGCCGACGACAGAGTTGGGAATTGACAAAGCGTAGGACGACGCAGTCACAACGCTCTCGTGGGCCCCGAAGACCCCCGTTGCAGCGCTCTCGCAAGCCCCAAAGACCCCAAATATACCAATCCCTTCTGTGGTTAGCTTGACGCTGGACCAGCTCAAGACGCAGAAGAACCCGGCTGCTCGAAAACGTGCTCTAGCAATAACTGCTGCAGCGCAACCTGGCGCGGCTTCTACTCTTCCTAGAATAACCCCACGCGCACAGCCCGCAGCTTCTGTTACTTCATCTGAAAACACCATCAAGAAGACCGTGCAGAAGACAGCGAACACCAGGAAGAGGTCAGCTACCAAGTCAAGGGTACCGCCAGTGGCGAACATGGAGTCAATAAACGACGCAAATAACTTCGACTTCCACCAGGCCAAAGCAGAGAAACCACGCAAGCCTCGCATGCTTGAGGAGGACGGAACGTTCACGGACAGGGCACCGGTACCGGGAAAGGCCGCAAAAAAGGAGATAGACGCATGGGCAGAGGCTCAGATGCGTACCAATCCCGATGTTGCCGCGATGAACAATGAAGATATCGAGCTCGCTACGCCCGAGACAATTGATGGGAGTGAGGATGGAGAAGACTCGGATGTGGCGAGTACTGCATGTGCTCACGACGAAGTCTTCACATTCCAGTAACGATTCAGCCTCAGCCTGCAGCTCCTCCTATGTCTTCGCCCATGACTACCTCAACGGCTACCACCCCCAGATACCTCACACATCCGGCTCCGTACGATCAGTGGATGTCTTGGCTTTCATGCGATTCATTAAAAGATATATCAATGCGCTATCCCCAAAAAAGACCTCGCCTTCTGATCAGACATCGACCTTGCATCACTCTCAATCGTAACCGTAACCGTATTCGTCGTCAAAATCTGATCCTCCTCATACACCGTCCCCCGTCGACTCCGTCCCATCTCTTCATCCTCCAAAATACCCCTCTGACTCCAGTCATCTCCTTGATCCTCAATCACCGTCCAGCGCCCCTCCTTCCCTTTGCCCATCGCATGAACAGTCGTGGTTGTAGTAGAGTGTTGACTTTGGTTCAACCGGGACAAGGGGACGCTTTGGTTGGTTTTGGTATGCGAGCGCGAGTAAGAAGATATGGTTTCCTTGAAGAAAACGCGGAGAACGGGGATGGAAGCGGCGATGATGGCGGTAGCGGTTTCGACGCCGGTCCAGATGGTGAGCTCTTTGCCGTTGTAGGAGAAGTCTTTTTGGCCGAGTTGGATTACGTAGACGCCTTTTACTATGGCGCAGACACCGGATCTGGGGAAGTCGTGTTAGCACTGCTGCTCATCAGTCGTGTAGGCTCGAAGTGACTTACAATACACCCATGCTCATGGCGATGCCCACTCCGATCTTCTCGCGGAGCTTCAGTTGTAATCCCCATATCAGGTACCATGGAAGCAGCGCTAGCGCAAAGTCTGCCGCAGCGCACCACGCAGCGTTGAAGATACCGTAGTCGATTGAGTGGCTAGAGTCCCAGCATGTCCCTGGGAGATCTTTGTTCCAAGCTTTCGCCATCGGCTGGCACTGGACCCAGGTAGCCAGCGCACTTGGCAGCATTATGAGGAAGAGGGTCACGATGCAGAACCATACGAACCCGCGTAGGTAACCTGAGGTAAGGCGGAGGAGCGTGACGCCGAAGGATATCTTCGAGAGAGTAGAGGCGAAGCAGGAGATCGATGCGGCGACGGACATTCCGACTGCGATGGTCATGAGGTATTTGGGGTTGACATCTTCCAGTCGTTTTCCAAATCCTAATTGTTGTCCAACTTGGGTGATGATAGCCTGCGCGAGAAGGAGTACCTGTTCATTCCCGTTAGAGACATCATACAGATGGAAGACGTCGACTTACCCATGAGACAGTCAGGATGTGATCATCCCACCAAAGCCCTTGCTTCCTCGATAACTTCGCATAGAATCTCAAAGCCAGAAACCCTCCACTCAATATCGTCAACATCCACGTTACTCCAGCAATTACAGGGCCATTATCCGGCACACCCATCTCGGTGCGGATCAGTCTGGAGGACCACCAATTCGTATAAGCCCGAGAGAATATGCAGTCATGCGTACTGAGCGTGCATGCGAGGATCGTAGCGAAAAAAGGCAAAGAAAGGCTGTGGGGATGGGAACCATGAAGAAGGATCAGCTACCGGCACATCGCACACGGTCCCGATCATACCCAATGCCTGTAGTCCATCATCTCGGTATTCGCCGTACACTGGGGCGGAAACAAAGAGTGGTAGTGATGGGATGCTAGATCGACTACTTGACACGCGACATGGCGTGTTTGGAATCGGTACACTAGAAGCATGTCGTCGGGAAGTGGAGTCGGATCAGGCTAGTATGGCGAAAACACCACAGATGCCGCAATATGTCTAGTAATGGGTACAAGTGCACTGCTCGAGCGTTAAGCCTGTAGAAGGAAGCGGCGCCGTTAGCTGCACGTCCGGCAACGATTTCCAGCCAAGCGTTCATGTAGCGACGGAGAAGCCTGAGAGAACACGATCGTCTAGCGGGCTGAACTGGGATAGACCCTCCAGGTACCTGGGCCCCGGAAATGAACCACGCGGCATGGCAGCGTTGCGACCTGAAGGAAGGAGTTGAGTCGTCTACATGAGGCGACGGGCGCTCCGTGCAGATGTGCGTCTAGGAAGTCTCAGACCCGCGGGATGTGCGATCGATTATACGATTCGTCGGTCCGATCATGCAGCCACTGGATCTCGAGTTCTAGGCCATTAGCGTCGCCATATGAAATCGCATGCACTTGTGCGACCACGCGACTATGCGATGATCATATTCTCCATGGGATTTCGGGAGTTCAAAGTAACTTTCGGTGACAGAAGCCTCTTGACGCCCGAAGCTAGAAGGTGCCGCAAACTTTGTGGGCGGCGCTGGAGTGACGCGGCGTCGGTGTCAAAAGGCCGGCGTTACCGAGCTACCACATGGCAATAGAGTTTGCGCCACATTTAGCACGCAAGACACCCGCTAGCTCAGACACGAGCAAAGAATATGTGTGGTCGCCGATAGCTCGCGCTGGGCTGAACGATTGAACTGGGCGGGATGATTTGCCCGAAATTTTGACGTTGGGCTGAAGCGACGAACGTGCACAAAGGCCTGTGATAAATCCGGTGAATGGCGGGAAGGTTCGGAATCAAGTCCGCAACGACTCTTGCTACTGAGTATGTATTCAGGCTATATTGGACGGCTGATCCCCAAGCCGGCCTGTTTCCCATCCTTATACCACAAAGATGTACCCGCAACTGCTACTGGAGCATCGCCGCCAGTGTATCATACTCTACCCCTTTTTGTTGAACTGCTTCAGCTTGTCCTGCACGGCTTGCTTGAGATCAAATCCTTGCATCACGCTGCCCCTCCTCTTCCTTTGCTCGATCTCAGCCTTGACTTCGGCCACGATCTCGTCAATCTCCGCCTCGGGATCATCCGCAATACCCAGGAGAGGCATCTTGGCGTGACTCTTGACACTGTCTGACGAGTTGGTCCTCGCTAGCCTTTCTCGTCGAATCTCTTCCCGTGCTGCCTTCTCAATGGCAGGATCATCGTATGTGGTGGCTGCCGCTGGGGGCGCACGAGCCGTCTGAAGTTGAACGAGCTGCTTGCGGATGGGGAACGACCGCGAAAAGACAGCAAATGATCCGGCCACACCGATGAGAGTGTAGAAGTAAACCCGTGCCCAGATCTTGATAGTATCCGAAAAGCCAAGAAGGATGAAGGGAGCGACTACGAACGCAAACACAGTCTGTGTAAGGACGACGCAGAAGAGGTCGTAGTATCGCTTCGAAGGTAGAGGTGATTTCCCGTCTGGCGTCATGAACAGCGGACGGATCAATCGGCGGCCATCTGGTGAATGTCAGCATGAAAGCAGATAGCGCATCATCAGAGACCTACTCTTCGCAGCAGTTTGTACAAGAGCTGCCAGAATGAAGGCCATGTAATAGCCAGGGTAGAATCCATGCCAGAATGCGCTAGTCACAAATGTGGCTAGCGTAGCCCTGAAGCCAGGTTTCTGTCCCTTCGGTGTCACACGAAGATACATGTAGTTCTTCAGCCAAGTGTTGGTGTTGATGTTCCAGAAACCAAGGTAAGCACGAGCATTCTGCGCGGCCTCAATTTCGAGTGGCTTGATGTTGGTGAGACGGTCCCATTTAGCTCGACCAGTCTTGGGGTCAAGACCGTTGTAGCCGATTCCGGAGAGGATACACGATCCCTCAGACAGACTCCAAACTGCGTAGTACTTCATACGCGTGGTAAGACCAAGCATGTAGAGCTGCCAGATCCTGCGGAAAAGGTTGTATTGCATGTACTCGTCGCCAAGGTAGAAGTCAGGGTAGTACCAGCTGGAGAATTTGATGAACGCGACCAGCCAGAGAGTTCCGTAGACTCCTTTGATTACAGCAGGCATACCGCTGCGAGGAATCTTCCGCTTCTTGCGCGTTGGCGGTGCCTTGGATGGATCGGTGCCTGGTGGGAGGGTGAACATGGTGGTAGTGATGTACTGGCTGTAATCGGCGTAGTCAAAGGCTGGGCCAGCCATGAGGGCAGGAAAGAAAAAGACATAGCCGACGTAGTCGATCATGCTGGGCATTGTCCGGATAGCGTGGGCGCGCTGTTGTTCGGACAGCTCAGAGTCCGGAAGGCGACCATCCTGGACGTTCCAGCAGAAAGCAGTCAGCTTCATGACCAGGACCATTTGAGCTCCGGTGATGTCAAAGACGGACGGGTCATTCACCGCTTGTCGGTAGATGTGATTCACCGACATGTGGCCCATAAGGAATACGAATCCGATCCATGGCATGTACGGCGAATGAATTCTGGAAGAGATGAGGTAGGCCCCGCCAGCACTGATGAAGATAGTTCGCAGGCCGGTCCATAAGTCAAAAAGGCCAACAAGGTAGAACATGGAGACGCTGGAGCCATTAACACCAATTCATCCAAAGCAAGATTTGATGAGCCTCACGTAATGACGAAGACATTCTTTTTCCACGGGTCCTTGTCGGGAATCCTTTTCAATACGGCAGCTAGAGGATACGACAGGTAGAAGGAGAAAATGAGCTTGACTGGGTGGAGTCAGCAGAACATCAGCCACACGTACCATGCGAGATCTTACGCTCATCAGCCGAGTTCCCAAGCGCACCAGCCACATATTCAAAAGCTACATCATGGTCAGTATTGGTGGTAGTGGCTCAGCATGCTAACACGTACGTGCGTTGATGTAGGGCAGCATGGTGCCAACTGTCAAGTGGACTTGAGTCCAAACCCGGGAGACAAGAAGGGAACCAGAAGCGGTGAGAGTTGAGAACAGCGGTATTATATGTAAGGCATCGGTCCTGTGTCGGGCGGCGGAAAGTTAAGTGAGAGTATGCAGACGCAGGTGCATGGTGGGTGAGCAGCCAAGATGACGTCGGGGCACGTTTGCCGAGGCCCGTGCAGGGCAGCTCAGCGCTCACTGGCCAGCAAATTCGCGATAGAGTTGGGACGCGACTTCGCGAATCCTCCACGCGCGCAACCACGGCGATAACGCCCTGATAACGCACCTCGATAACGGAACTCCGTCGCTGACATGGCCACGACGTACAACCTCGAGCCGAACCCGACGGCCAAAGTCGTCCTGC